ATATATATATATATATATATATATATATATATATATATATATATATATATATATATATAAAATAAAAAAGTAAATAATTTGAATTACTATTACAAACCTGATCAAGAACAACCTCGTCTGTTTGCTTCAAAGAATGAGGAGTATCTAAATCTATTCCAGCTGGCATTGATATCAAAAGTTTCCAACTGCATAAAATATTATAATTTTAAAGAATAAAAGTAAAAATGTGCATGAATAACAAATTTTGAAAAGGGCTAAATACAAAAACAAAAAATGGAAGTAGTGTCCTACTTTTTGTTTTGCAATACAATGGTTGACTTCTTGACATATTATTAATTATTAAGAAAGTAATGAATGTACAATATTGCAATAGAATCATAGAAAGAAGGGTTAATCTAAAAACTACCTTATATTTTGTGATTTTTCCTAAACCTCAAAAGAAAATTTTGTCTGAAAAAGACCTTGTATTTTTTTATTTTTTCTGATCCGGTCATTTTAGTCATTTTTTTCCAAAAAAAATTTTAAAATGTGAGGGGTTTTTCTAGAAAAAGTAAACAAGTTGAGGGTTTATTTTGAAGCATTTAGAAAGTTGCAGGTTTTTTTTGGAAAAGAATAAAAAGTTAAGGGTTTTTCGGAAAAACCAAAAAAATACAAGGTCTTTTTCAGGCAAAAAAATTTTTGAGGTTTAATTAGGAAAAAACACAAAATATAAGGTCTTTTTTGAGATTAACCCTAGAAAGAAATGAAAATACGTTGCTATTTCTTGGATTTAGTCCATCTTGAAAGGGTTATATGCAAGAAATAGCAACATATTTTCATTTCTTCCAATTATAGGATTTTAAATCATAAGAAAATTAAAAATAATTAAAAGTAGGATGCTATTATACACAAATAATTAAAAGTAGGTTGCTATTTCTTGTGTTTAACCCCTTATTGAAATTCTCATATTTAAAAATCAACTCACCTATCCAAACGGCTAGTTGGAGAATGAGTGGCCTTATCAAGAGTCTTTTTTATAGCCGCCCTCCAACTAAAAGGAAACGAACCACCCTATAAATAATTCCAATCGCACCTTAAAAACCTCAAATAATATTTAAAAAATTAAAAATTAAAAATTAAAAATTACTAGGATACGATTAGATTTACCCAACCAAAACTCCGTGACAAATCATTTCCTGTTCCAAGTGGTATAACTGCGGTTGGTGGAATCGGACTTCTTCCCTGCTTATGAAGCTCTCCAAGACATCCGAGAACCCAACCCACTGTCCCATCGCCTCCCGCAACCTATCAAATAAATACTAATTGTCATGTAAGAAATACTCTGATATCTGTCTATAACGTTGGTATCACAGCACTGGTTTAAGCTGTGTTTGGCGCGCCACAACTAACTTATTTTTCGAGTTTTTTTAAGTTGTCATGTTTGGCAAATCAAAATGTAGCTTATAAGCTAGCTTTTTAAAAAGCTACTTAGACTAGCTTTTTAAGAGCTATTTTAAAATTTTCGAAATATATCTCTTAATTAATTATAGAAACACATTCTTTTATGTCCTTTTATATTTTTCAGCCAGTTTTACCAAACGACATTTTTTATCAGCTAGTTTTTTAATTATCAGCTAGTTTTTCAGTTAACAACTAACTTTTCAGCTAATAGGTCAAACATAGCCTAAATGATGTGAAGTTGAGTTAGATAGCATAACTTAAGGGTTGTTTCTTTTTGACTTAATGAGCTTAATGGGTTAAGCACTTAATATGTATAGCTTTATATCGTTGTTTCTTTTTTTACTTGATTTGAATAGAATGTATGGCTTCATGTATTTAGACACTAAGGGTGGTGTTTGTTTTTTGTCTGTAGATCTGCGTGGCCTCTTCTGTCTGCGCCGCGCAGACCACGCGCAGACATTAGCCTTCGCAGACTGTTTGTTTTTTGAAGACTGCAGACCTAAAAATGTCTGCGCGCCCTCTTCTTGGCGCAGATGTGGACCAGAGTCTTCTAACATCTTCAGACATCTTCTAGACTAAAAAAACACACATATCTATATTTTTTTTAAGTTTTTTTTTAATTTATATTTTTTCGAACTTTATTAATGATAAACAATTTGAAAAAAAATTACAAAACTTAAAAAAAAAAATGTTCAACGATACAAACATGATATTTTTGACAAATTTATAAATAAAGATTTATTACAATAATAGTCGTTGAA